ATGCACGCGCGCGTGTATTCATGCATGCGCGCATGTACGCACGCACGCATTCCGCTTGCGTATGCAGAATTTCAAAGGGGACGAAGGTGCATGGCGCGAGCCGCAATGCAATCTTGAAATTATATATAAATTATATATAATATATATATATATATATATATATATATATGTATATCCTTGTCTCTCTACGTGCCCCTCTCTTCTCTGACACGCGTCTGCCACTCCTCTCCAACCCCTCCGCGCCACCGCGTCCACGTCCCCCGACGCGCTTCCGAGCTCTCCTCCTCGGGCCTCCTCTGCTCGGGAGCACGCGGATCCGTGGACCCGTCGCGTGGACGCCAGATCCACGGGTCGGGGAAGGCACCCCCCGAAGCGTGAGGCCAGCGCCGGCCCATCTGGAGACGGAGCGCGCTGGTTCTGAGGAAGTGAGGCCAGGGAGGCTACAGTCAGCACGCCTGGCAATGGCGCGCGCCTTCATCTGGGGCTTGCCCCCCTCGAGTCCTTTCCTCTGCGGCCCGTCCTTCGCCGTCTCCACGGGTCGCCCGCGGCCCCGCCTCCAAGGGTCCCGCGTGCCTCCCGCCCGTCCCCGGTGCACGTTTGGGACGTTTGGGCTGCCATCCGCGCGTCGCTCGTGCACTCTTGCGCTGCCTCGGCCTTGGGCCCCCCTCTGGGGCTCCCGACCGCCTGCCGCCGCAGTCTCCCGCATCCCGCGTTCTCCTCCGACGTCTCGGCCTCCCTTCTCGGCCGTCGTCCCCCCGGCCCCCCGAGCTCAGCCATCCCGCCGCTCCCTCCAGCGCGGTCTTTCGCCCTCGTCCCCGGCATTGCTCCTCCAGGCTCCTGGGCACCCCTCCTCGATCCTCCTCGTGCACCCTTCTCACTGACCCTCTCCTCTCCCTGCCCACATCCTCCAGGTCCCTCCTCATCTCTCCCTCCTGGGTTGTCGTTTCGAACTCTCTCCTTCTCACCGCCTCTCCCTCCCATCTTCCCTCTCCCTTCTCAGACGCATACTCGGCCGTCCTGTGAACTTTCCTGGGCCCTCGCCTCACTTCCACTCTTTCCTCTTGTACAGATCCCAACTTCCATCCCCCATTTCCGTTGCCACCCCCAACTACTTGGTGAAGATGCGACGCAGGTTGCCGGGCTCGAACCTAAGCGCTGGCGGAGCGCGGCCGTGTTTCTAGTATAGATAAAGAGAGGGAGAGGGAGAGAGAGAGAGAGAGACCGCCAACACACAGAGGGTGAGACAGGGCTGCATGTAAAGAGGGAAAGGGAGAGGGATTACATAGAAAAAGGTTCGAGAGAGAGAGAGATAGAAACAAAAACATGAGAAAGAAAGAGAGACAGAGAGCGAGAACCCAAATGGAAGAGAGGCAAACACAAACAAACCAACAAGTGACCTGGCACGGATCGGCGACCCAGTGAGTCGAAAAGCTGGCCCCAATCAAGCACATATCATCGTTGACAAAGCCAGTATTGAATTTTAGATGTTGGCCACCTGCAAGTGGTGCGTGCTAGCAAACTCGCCGCCTCACATGTTGCAGCGAATCCTCAGTAACAACTTCTGGACGCAACGCGTACTCCCACGTGCCTGACGCTGTCTTGCGTCTCAATGAGGGGCATTTTGTCCCTGGCATGTGCATACGCCACTGCGGCCAATTTACATCGTACCGCGCCCCGGACGTTTTGCCCGCTCCCTGTCCCTCGCCTTGGAGCCGCGAACCAGAAAAGTATTCCCACGTGCGCGTCTTCACCATGCACAAGACTTGCCCACCGAGGTCCGCGTCCCGTGCGGGTTGTGCACTGGCCGCTTGAATTCTGGTCATTTTGTCCAGTGCACGTGCCCGAGCAAGCAGTGCGCCGATCAGTTCAGCTTCACCCAGCCAGCAGCTGCAGCCTGAGTGGGCCGGCCGGCCTGCGCCTGTCCTTGCTAATTCGCCTAGCTCGCGTCCCGGACTTTGCTTTCGCCGCCTGACCGTCGTCTCGCGGCCGCGACCGAAAAAGTATTCCCACCAGACCCCACCACAGGAGGGTCCCGCACGGGCAGGGCGGCCTGTCAAGGACCCTGTGACCCTGCATCGCAATGTGGGTGATCGCCCCCTGGCGCTGTCGCCCCCTGGCGCCTACTCTTCCGGCCGCGCTGGCGACGTCCATCCCCGCCAGTCAGGCTTCCTCTCCGCGCAATACGCGGCTCCCTACGACGCTAACGTCGTGACCATGTGGCCATCGGCCGGGCCCACATGTGCCATCGCCTTCGGGCTGGTTTGTTGCCACTTGCTCGGGACTGGTGTGCCCCACTGGATACGTGCGTGCGTGGCGTCTCGGAGCGGCCCAGCCTTCCGTCGGACGCTGTGCTTCCATCCTGGTTTCGTCCCAGCCGACCAGGCAGGTCTACGCCGTCGAGTCGACACGGCCCTGGCCCTTGGCGCCCCCTGGCGACATGACCAGTGTGTACCTAGCCTTTCCCCACTGCAGTGTCTGTGAGGACTGTACGTGCAGGCCACTTTCTGCCTGTCCCGACAAGCATCTTCACCGTGGTGGACTGGCGCCGCGGCGCAAAACACAGAATTCCTTGGCATTTTGCCACAGGGCTGCAAGATGCTCGAGCTTCCCTAGGCGTTGCAGTTCAGCCACTCAGCCCCCCGCCGCCGCTGCCGCAGCTGCTGTTTCTGAGAGCTGGCCCGGCCGGCTCGCGCTGCGCCCAGCAGCTACTTAGGTTTGCCCGTCGGCCCGGACACCCTGTTCGCCGCCTGCGTTTTTCGCTTGCGGCCGCGACCAAAAAATATTCCCACCAGACAATCCAGAAACTATTCCCATGCCAGGTACAGTGAAAATACATTTGGGGCAGCATTAACTGCAGGACAAGTTAACAAGGGGGAAGGAGCAGCACCAGTCAAATCGAAGTTGGGGTCAGCCTGAATAGTCGCCAGCACGGGCAATTTTGTCTTTTGGAGCCATCTTGGACCTTGTTGTGGTTCGCCTGGGGCGCCCTGGGGCCTTCTCATAGCGTTTTGTTGGTGTGCATCTTGTGTGAGCAATCTGTGTGAGGCCCTTGGGACCGCCTTGACCATCAAGAAGGCCATCTATCAGCATGTGGGGCGGTCCCAGTTCGCCCCCTTCCCATCGGCATCTACGCCACCCTCGATGGATTGCTGATGTGATGTGGCCTCCCTGGGGCGTCAAGGAGCACAGCTCCCGCAGTTGCGGCTTGTCGGTGGCATCCATGGGCTGCGGCACGCGTGCGTGCTGCCATCCATGGATTGCGCCATATGTTGCGCCATCTATGGGTTGCGCCGTGGGTTTCGCCATCCATTGGATGCGCCGTAGGTTTTACCATGGGTTGCGACATCCCGCGGATCCACTCCACTGGTTGCGCAATGAGTTGCGCATTTGATTGACAAACATCAACAGGCCTGCTGGTAGTTGCGCCAATCGTTACGCATTCGGCGGCAAAGCCTACGGACTGTTTTTGGTGTTGCCATAGGATGCGCACTCGATGGCCCAACATACAACGACCTACTGTTAGTGGGGTCATAGATTGCGCACGCGACGGTTAAATCATTAACGTCTTACCGTTGGTGGTGCCATACGTGTCGCACCCGGCCGCCAGGAATAAACCGACCTTCAATTTGTGGCGACAGAGGTTGTGCACCCTGCCCCAAAAACATATGACGACATGCCTTTGGTTTCACTGGGGTCTGCGCTCTCGACTGGCAGAAACAGCACAGCTTGCCATTGGAAGCGCCATAAGTTGCGCATTTGGCGGCTCAAAGTATCATGGTCTGCGTGTGGTGGCGCCATAGGTTTCGTATTCGACGGCCAAACCGAACATTGCTTGTTACTGGTGGTGCCATAGGGTTCGCACTCGGCGCCCCGAAAAAGAAACGGCCTGCCCTTAGAAGCACCAAGGGTTGAACACTTGGCGGCCCCAAACAGAACGGCCTGCCATTGGTGGCGCCAGGAGTTACGCACTCGGCGGCTCAAAAGAAAACGGCCTGGCATTGGTGGCGCCGTAGTTTGCGCACTCCGCGGCCAGAAGTATGACGACTTGCCATTGGTGGCGTCATATTTTGCACTTTCGGCGGCCAGAAATATGACGTCTTGCCATTGGTGGCGCCATATGCTGCGGCACTCTGCGGCCCAACGTAACATCGCCTGCCATTAGCCGCGCCATAGGTTGCGCACCCGGCAAGAAACAGAACGGCACGCTAGTGGGCTCGGCCAGTCCGTAAGGAACCAACTCAGCCAGCCAGGAGCCAGTCGGTCGCGAAAGACAAATTCGGGCTACGCCCGAACGCACATGATAATTAAGATCGGGTGAGTGTTCTGCCAGGCTTTGCAGTTCATGGCATTGGCGCGGAATGAGCTTGTCATTGATTGCGTCGATTTTTGTTATCGTTTGCATGTTCGTGAGCGTGTCGGCGTTATTCCAAGATCCGTCCACGTTTTTATCAATAAGACCGCCCTTCGGCTGATGAGGAGGTGGGGGGTGTAAGAGTTGACGTTGACTGGATTGCATTCGCGAACCACGGGGCACTCAGGGGCAACAACCACGGGACAGCCATCGGGAGAACCAGTGGACAAGCATCGGGACAATCATCGGGACAACCACAGGACAAGCATGGGGCAACGATCGGGACAATCAGCTGGGCAACCATTGCGAACACCATCGGGGCAACCGACCGGACAATAATCGCACAACCATCGGGACAACCGTCGGGACAAACCCGGGACAACCATCCGGATCACGATTTGGACAACCATGGGAACAACCATCGGGACAATCATCGGGACAATTATCGGGACCCCATTCGGGACAACCACGGGGTGACCGCGGGACACACCATCGGGACAACCTTTGGGACAACCATCGGGACAACCACAGGAAAACCATCGCCACAACGATCGGGACAGCCATCGGGACAATCAGCTGGACAGTTGTCGGGACAAGCATCGGGTTCAATCACAGGACAACCATTGCCACAACGATCGGGGCAACCATCGGGACAACCATCGGGACAACCACTGGACAAGCATGGGGACAGTCCCAGGCACGCCCGCCAGGCACACCCCTGCCGGCTCGGACCCGACTCCTTCTGGCAAGGTTTGGATCCAGCTAGCGCAGGACCTGAATTCGCGCTGTCGCGCCTCGCCCGCACGCTCGTCGCGCACGACACGGACGGAAGCCGAAGTCGAGTTCCCGCTCGGGGGACTTCGTTTTGCGTCGGCCTCGCCCCCCAACCTCCGATCCGTGCGGTGTTGTTAGAGCGGTGTTGTTAGATGGCAGGGTGGTTTTGGTGCGCGTTTGCTGAATGGTTCCTCTGTAACGCTTGCGTATTACACCACCCAGCGCAAGGCTATGGGAGATACGGCGACGCGGCTGTGCACCCCCCCAGTGGAACTCGAGGTGCAGTGCCCTACGACCTTGGAGCCCATCTACCCTTCGTGGAAGTCTCACTTCAACCCCGTGTTCCAGAAGACGAGAGCGTTCCTGACGCAGAGAGGCGACAAAGACACCAACATCGTCGTCCTCGGCCCGACAGGCGCCGGCAAGTCCACGATCATCAACATGTTGTTCAATAGGAAGGTCGCCAAGGTGAAGGCAACCGCGAAGTCTGTGACGAAGCAAATGCACATTTATTCTGGGACCTTCACCTTCAGGGAACAGACCCGGACAGTGAATGTGATTGACAGCGTAGGGTTTTGCGACAGCGTCATGCCTGCATCAGATGTGACTCGCATGGTCAAAGAGTTCATCAAGTCGAGCGTTTTCCACGTACACAAGGTGTTGATTGTGTGTGCTGGTCGCATTGAGGACGAGCAGTCGCAAGCGATAAAGAATTTCATGGAGTGGCTGGATTATCAGCACTATAAGTCTCAATTCATCTTCATATATAATAAGAGTGAGAATTTAACCCCCGCTGAAAGAACGGAGTGCTTGGGAGAGATGTGCGATTTGCTTGGTGCGGATTCGAACTTTGGTGCAATCGAGGACGTTGCAGGGGAGCAGGTCCGCTTGAATTACACTATTTCGACTGCTTTCCCTGCGCACTTCCGCCTCGAGCAAATCGGGGATGACCTGCGGAATCTGTATAATGCTGCGTTCTATATCCGCAAGGACCATCGTGCGATCGAGGTCCAGGAGGCGAGCTGCCGCATTCTGTAGTGCACCGCGTTGGCTGCTGCTGGCGCGACGGGATGGCATGACCTCTGATATTTGGCGCGCCTGCCGGCATTTTGGTTGAACCTGTACATACAGACGGCCTGGCAGTGCGCGCCAGGCATCCGTCGCGGTCTTCCCACGGCGCGAGGACGTCAGGGGAATGCCGCGCCTCGAGCCTCTCGAGCCTCGAAAACTGGGTGCGGGCCGCCGGGGATCGCAGGCCAAACTCACAACGGGGCATAGGATCCCTACAGGCTCCCGCCGCCGGCAAGATCCTGAAGACAACGACGGTGACACGACCGCAGCGGGGGGTAGCGAACGACGAGGATCAGAAGAGGACAAGGTACTCACACGGCTACCCTTCGCCCGTTTCCCCTTTTTGGGCCTCTTGGGGGGCCCTCGTCGCCACCGCTGGAATTCGCCTATCCGCCTCGACATTCTAATCAGAACGCACCCCGGGAGAGGTCCGGGGGGCAGCGGTGTTGGTACCTCTCGGTTTCCCAACAGAAGGGGGGAGCGAACGACGAGGAGGCACGGGGGAGGAGGCTTGCAGTGGGGACGCGCACCAAGAAGCCATGCGCTTTTCGTCAGGGTAACCGGCTTCTTCTCAGCGGCGAGCCCGGGGGGGAAGAGCGGAGGAAAAGGCCTTCTCAGAAGGGTGGGAAGTCCCTTGGCCTTCTGAGAAGTTTCCTGAGCCTTTCCCGAAGACGCGCAAAACTTCTCAGAAGGCGCGAGGGCATCTGAGAAGACCCGCCGCCTTCTGAGGAGACCTTCTCTTTCTCACTTCCCCCCCTCGCTCGCCGCCGATTTTGGCTCCGCGCGCTGCGTGGTGACTTCCGAGGCGGTTGTCACCGCCCACCAAACCACCCCAACCCAACCCGAAGGCTCAGATTTATCCTCGATTTCCAGTGGGGGGGGGTCTTGGAACATCGAGAAAACACATATGGAACCCGTACCCCCCCCAACCCGAAATTCGAGTCTTCGGGTTGGGTTGGGGTGGTCTGGTAGGTAGTCAGGTTGAAGAAGCTGCTGCGTTCAGGGTGCTTTGGGTGACCCCCGTGTGCATCTCGCGCGCGGGTTGCCAGTGTTGGGTTTCTCGCCAGGGTCCCTTGCGGCCGCGTCCGCAAAGGGGACCGAACTAGAACCAACCGGCGCGACCGGCGCGACCGGCGCGACCGGCACCGGCGCGACCAGCGCGATTGCGACCGGCGCGACCGGCGCGACCGGCGCAACCGGCGCGACCGGCACCGGCGCGACCGGCGCGACCGGCGCGACCGGCACCGGCGACTGGCGCGACCGGCGCGACCGGCGCGACCGGCGCACCCGGCGCGACCGGCGCGACCGGCGCGACCGGCACAACCGGCTCGACCGGCGCGACCGGCACCGGCGCGACCGGCGCGACCGGCACGATCAGCACGACCGGCGCGACCGGCGCGACCGGCGCGCCCGGCGCGCCCGGTTGGGGGCCTCCGGGGGGCCTCTTGGGGCCATCTGGGGGCCTCTTGGTGCCTCCTGGGCGCTTCGGGGGGCCATCTTGGAGGGCATGGATCCAAGAAGAGGGGAGCTTTAATGAGCGCTGCTCCCTCGGAAGGGCAAAATGAGCCCAAAACCTTAGTAAAATCAATAATATTGCCTTGACGGGAGGGGGGAGCTTGCATGAGCGCTGCCCCCTCAGAAGGGCCAAATGGAGCCAAAACCGTAGTAAAATCAATGTTTTTGGCTTCAAGGAAGAGGAGGGTACCTTATCTCCGTCCCCCCGTCGGGGCCAGAATCCTCGTGAGGGGTGTCGTTTTTTAGCCCTCCGAGGAGTCGAAAAAGACCCCCCGGCGACCCGCGGAACACCCCCTCCAGGCCCAGGGGGAGGGGGTAGGGGGAGGGGTAAACCCCTCCCCGAAGGGGAAGAAGGGGGGTTGAGGACAGAGAGAGCTCGCTGAACCACTCACGCCCAAAGGGCTGGTGGGATTTGAGGATGTCTCGAGCGAAACGCTTGATTTTCAGAATTTGTTGAGGATGTCTCGAGCGAAACGCTTGTTTTGTGTTATAGATTGTCCTCTCCTGGGGGCCTGAATTCTGAGGATCTCTCAAGTGGATTCGTGCCCTGGTCTTGAGGATGCCTCGAGCGAGACGCTTGGTTTCACGCCTCCAGGTGGCCCAGACAGATAGATGTCTAGCATGAGGATTTGTTGAGGATGTCTCGAACCAGAGGCTTGTTTTCACGTGTCCAGGTCGCCCAGGCGGATGTCTAACATGAGCATTTGTTGAGGATGTCTCGAGCGAGACGCTTTGTTTGCACGTGTCCAGGTTGCCCAAGCGGATGTCTAGCATGAGGATGTGCTGACAACGTCTTGAGCGAAACGCGTGATTTCACGTGTCCAGGTCGCCCAGGCACAGCACAGCCCTCGGCACGGTACATCAATATCGATACCTTTTTTTGAGTATGGGTGCTTGTGATTTTTTTGTGTTTTTTTTGTCTGTTTTTTTTTTTAATTTTTTTCGTTTTTTTTTTTTTCTTTTTTTTTTTTTGCTTTTGGTGTTTTCTTTTTAGTTTTTTTTTTTTTTTCTTTTTATAATTTTTTTAGTTGTTTTTTTTTTTTTTTTTTTAATTTTTTTTTTTTATATTTAGCATTTGTAGTTGCATGTTGCTTGGCACGTTCCGCGGAGCGTCCCGTGGCGAGTCCCCCTGGCACGTCGCGCGGTGCACGTCCATTGGCACGTTCCGTAGCGCGTCCCCTTGGCACGTCCCACGGTGCGTGCCCATGGCACGTCCCCTGGCACGTCGCCTGGCGCGTCCCTTGGGACGTTCCGCGGCGCGTCCTCCTGGCATGTCCCCCTGTCGATTAGTTCTGGGGCAGCTACCATCTGCTCAGGCAGCTCGAGCTTAAGATCCAGATCAGTTCGGTCAGGACTCGGATGCAGGGAGGACTCGATCCACAACGCTATATTCTATATTATAGAGATGAGAGAGAGAGAGAGAGGAGAGGCCAATCGCGGCATGACGCCATCGCAGTTCAAGCACGCACGGCCAGCACAGCACAGCCGTCGGCACGGTACATCAATCTCGATACACTCAACTATACACTTTGGCACGAGAGAGAGAGAGAGAGAGCACAATCGCGGCATGACGCATCGCAGTTCAGCACGGCCCAGCACAGCACAGCCGTCGGCACGGTACATCAATTTCGATACACTCAACTATACACTTTGGCACGTTCCTTGGCGCGTTCCGTGGCGAGTCCACCTGGCACGTCGCGCGGCGCGTCCCATGGCACGTCCCTCGGCACGTCCATTGGCACGTTCCGTAGCGCGTCCCCTTGGCTCGTCCCACGGTGCGTCCCCATGGCACGTCCCCTGGCACGTCGCCTGGCGCGTCCCTTGGGACGTTCCGCGGCGCGTCCTCTTGGCATGTTCCCTCTGTCGATTAGTTTTTGGGCAGCTCCCATCTGCTCAGGCAGCTCGAGCTTACGCTCCAGATCAGTCCCGAGAGGACTCGGATGCCAGGGAGGACTCGATCCACAACGCTATAGAGAGCACGATCGCGGCGTGGCACATCGCAGTTCAGCACGGCGTAGCACAGCACAGCCCTCGGCACAGTACATCATCATCGATACATTCAGCATTGCATGTGCCCGTCGCCCAATCAGGTGTCTTTGAAATGTTACAATGCCTTACATTTCTATATTCCTTTCCGGGTTCGTGGGTCGATCATGTTCTACTGCGCTGTCCCAGCGCGTTGGGCTGCCACGAGGCAGATCCTGCAGGACCAAGATTCAGCTGCGCGTGAGAGCGACCCTTCGCCAAATTGACCTTTGGTGCGGGCCCACCAGGGCTCCCTCAGGCACTGGCCCACGCGCTTGGATCTGGCCCCCTCCCTCCCCCGCAGCCCCCCCCCCAAGCTGCACACCAAAGGTCACCCCAACCTGCAGGGCCACGCCCTCCGTGCCACCGAGAGCTCATGGCAGCGTCTCCTTTCCCGATCCGCCCCAGGTTCTCCAGACACACATACCGCTACCCTTGCCTCGTTTGCGCCTCGTTGGGCCTCCTGGGAGGCCCTCGTCGCCACCGCTGGATTCGCCTCGGGAGTCTGGTCAGAAGGCACCCCAGGAGAGGGCCATGAAGCATCGGTATCGATACCGTCTGGTGCCTCAAATATCTTGCATGCCTCGCCCTGATGAGATTGGTAAGAGCGGTTTTCACAATCGTTGGCCACGATATGTTGGGGGGTCACGGCATTGTTGTGAGGTGTACGTTGATTTACCTCTCTCCTTCTTGTTCTATCTTCGAGTCGGCGACTACGAGGCGTCGGCGACTACGAGGCGAGGCGTAGCTCGCGACGCACACATTCGAGATCCGATGTCAAAAAGGTTGCTCCTAATGTGGTTTCCTCGCTCTCGGCCCTCCTTTCCCCCTCCTCCATTCCTGCCCCCGCGGCCTCTCGCGTTTAATTTTGACGAGGGCCGGCAGAAGTCTCCACGGGCATGCTCCCGCAGAAAGGCACTCGGGATTACACGCACGCCCGAGCTGCTCAAGCATGTCGTTTTCCCCGCCGCTGCGTTCGCAGAAAGGCACCCGGGTTTGCACGCACACCCGGGCTGCTGACGCAGTTTTTCTGTTTACTCGACGCTTCCGCGCGCCATCCGCTGCAGGGCGGGGTGCGGCCGGGGACTTTTCCAGCGCCTTCTGCATGCGACTTCCGCACGCAGTACCGCATCGTTTCCTCTTGCTCCACCCGCGGCGGTGCGCGCCGGCGCAGCCGACGGGCCGGCCCGGCGATGCGTCGGCGACTACGAGGCGTAGCTCGCGACGCACACATTCGAGATCCGATGTCAAAAAGGTTGCTCCTGATGTGGTATCCTCGCTCTCGGCCCTCCTTTCCCCCTCCTCCATTCCTGCCCCCGCGGCCTCTCGTGTTCTTCATTTTGTCTAAGGCCGGCAGGAGTCTGCCCGGGCATCCCCCCCGCAGAAAGGCACGACATCACGACATCACGTCCTCATGACACCTCCCATGGGGCACCTACATGGCAAGTGCGATCTCTGTGATGGTGTCGCAACCGACCTCACTTACACACTACGCCACGCCGCACCGCACCGCACCGCACCGCACCACACCGCACCGCACACACACACGCACACACACACACACACCACAACACACCACACCACACCACACACACGCACACACCACACCACACACCACGCCACACAACATCACGCCACATCACACCGTACCCCACACCACGCCACGCCACGCCACGAGATCATGACACCACCCACGGGACACGACGGGAGAGCGACATGACGACTGTGATGTCTGTGTTGATATCACAATCGACGCGCCGCTGGCGCAGCCGGCGCCGCTGGCGCAGCCGGCGCAGCCGGCGCAACCAGCGCGACCGGCGCGACCGGCGCGACCGGCGCAACCGGCGCAACCGGCGCGACCGGCGCAGCTGGCGCAGCCGGCGCGACCGGCGCGACCGGCGCGACCGGCGCGACCGGCGCGACCGGCGCAACCGGCGCGACCGGCGCAGCCGGCGCAACCGGCGCGACCGGCGCGACCGGCGCGACCGGCGCGACCGGCGCGACCGGCGCAACCGGCGCGACCGGCGCGACCGGCGCGACCGGCTCCGGTTCCAGATCAGCCTCTTCTCCTTCTTTGAGGAGTCCGCTGTGCCTGCCCCCAGGTTCGGGCTCGTTTCTCACGAGGGCCCTCGGGCCCACCGCGCCGCGGGTGGGCCGTTTCAGGACAGTTCGCCAGTGCTTAACGGCCGAGCGTTTAGGAGCATCGCGTAATGGTGGATGGGGAGCGGGGGAAAGGGGAGGAGATCGGAGGAGATGGCGGACCGCGACTGTCGAGACTCGTTCCGGGTCAGAGGTGGTAGGCCATAAGGCCCTAAGCCTCTGCCGTTCCATAACGGTTTTTTCGTTGGGCAGGCCCCGCGCTGTGGCGGGCTAGAGGGCTAACGAGCCATGGGCCCCGTAGGCGACCCGTCGTTTCGCCGTTTTGACGCGCCAGCAGCACCAGGTTCGTTTCGCAAAGCGAACACCAGGCCTTCGAATGACAGAGAGCTGACAGCTGCCGAGGCGCCCTCCTCCTCCTCCTCCTCCTCCTCCCCCTCCTCCTCCTCCTCCTCCTCCTCCTCCTCCCCTTCCTCCTCCTCCTCCCCCTCCCCCTCCTCCCCCTCCCCCTCCTCCTCCCTCCTCATCCTCCTTTCCTCCTCTTCCTCCTCCTCCTCCTCCTCCTCCTCCTCCTCCTTCCCTCCTCCTCCTCCTCCTTTCCCTCGCCGTGTGGGCCCAGCCTGGGGCCCGCCAGAAAGGCCTTCGACCCCCTCTCGACGGGGAAATG